AATCGCTCTATATATAACTTGTAGGAAAGTTAAAAAATCACAACAATATATTGGTTTATACACTCACTTGAACAAGTTGAAATGCAGAACCCAAGCCTCTATGCAATTGCCAAGAAACTTGCAAAAATCACTGTACTGGCCATTTTGCTCGTCTCGATTGGTATGTAACTACATATTTGATATTCAATATTAGACATAATTAAAATAAAAAATATATAGATTTTTTTGTTTTTTTGAGTCCAGTCAAGAAGTAGGAAAGTGATTTTAAGCACGTTATCTACCTAGAATGGTAGGTATGGCGTTCCCCGGTAAATAGAGAGGGACACAAACCCTACATCTTGAAAATTACGAAAAACGAATTCATCAAGAGCAAACATTAAAACTTGGCCATGTATTGCAAGGTACAATAAATATCGATTTTTCTAAAATCCTTTTTACTGTTGAGTACTATCAAATTCATCTTACTATAAACATTTTAATAATATTTGTTTATCCGATGAAAATGAGTTATAGGATATATGTGTGTGTACATGTATTGCTTCTAACATGGGATTTTTGCAGTGTTTATTTATGTGGGAGAGTCTAAAATTCAATGCCAAGGAAAATGTGAAGATATGCCTGTAGATTGCAATGAGTTTTGCAAAAGATCAGGTTTCCAGTTAGGCAAATGCTATCCACCTCTTTTCCAGTATTGCTGTTGCAGCACTTGATTCAGTTATTCTATGTACCATTTAAAATTAAGTAATTTGCATGGTATTATCATGCCCTAAATAAATTAATATGAATAAATATTTTTAATATGAAAGGCTTTTTCTTATATGTTGTTATTCTTTTTTCTGTTACTTAATTTAAGCAATATATGAGTTGGGATTTAATCAATAATTCATTTGAAACTATGATAATCATAATAGTAATTGGTAGAGGGAAACTGTTGATTCAATGTCCTCTCAATCGGGGGCACCGGTGAATTTGCTAATTAAACCGCAGCATAGATTCATCGCTGATTAGGTACGACGTTGTGTGACGCTAATCATCAATGAATCTTGATCATAAAATCCATCACTTTTTTGTATTCCTTTAAAAAAGAAAAAAAAAATTGCACGAAAAATTTGTAAATTTATATTATCATATGCTAATACACGTCCAATTAATGTTTGGCATCTCATTCCGAGGACGTAAAGATCAGAGAGAACACCATTGGCTTAATCACTCTACTGGACCCATACTTACATTGATACACAAAAGCTAGGGGAGTGTGGAATTATTATTACGAATGGTTTTTGCAGCAATCTACATTGAAGTTATAACACACAATTACTGATAAACAACGATAGATGCAATCTTTCATCCCATACGTAATTAATCTCCAAAATTTTCGACGAATTTATATAAAGTTGCGGCACAAATGACTGGTGAAGTTATTTTTTCAGGGATAATTTGTTGACCTAAAACTTTTACGTTTGTGTGCCACATTTAAAAGAGAGAAAAAGCATTTTAGATTCCTGGAAAAGGTATACGAATCAATGCTACATTATCTTCCCATCTTTAGTACCATTTGACTAAATTTATGTGGAATTGTCAAAATTGACTCGCTTAAGTGATTTGGACATTATATTAGAGATTTTCTTACGAGATAGGTCCACCTTCATGTTTCTGTGATGCTTTGCATAACATTTTTCATAAAAAAATCAAACACGAAACCTTCAACTCTGATACTAATTCGTATAGGGAGATGCAACCACTTTTCTTCCGAATACTTTGATAGGAATGTTAGACTCAAGTTCTATATCAAATGTGTCTAGGTTGGAAAATCCATCTCAAGCACAATTTGCTTGTGACTTACGTTGAAGACTCTCTTATGAGATAGGTGCACCTTCATATCATGTGATATTTTCCATCACAGACAATCCATTTTTCATGTGTTGAATTTGTTTATTGTGTACAGGGGCGGACGGGGTGGCATAGTGGGTCACGTGACCCCCTAGATTTTGACTTTTTTTTTTTTTTAATGAAAAAGCCAAACTTCAAAGTCCACAATTTGAAATTCGACCGACGGTGCATGTCTCTCTCTCACCACTTCGCCCGTGTCTATAGCTTTCTCTCTCCTACCACTTCGTCTTCGCCTCTTCGCCATCTTCATCAATGATGTTCGTCATTTTGCATCTCTAAAGTTGCCCATGGCCGTCTGCACTTACGTCTTAGATGCTGTATTGTGGTCTATGCATCTCCGAAGTCATTTGTCGTATATTGTCTGCACGTCTCTCTAACCTCCAAGCTCCAACCACTACCTCAAAGCACTTATTTTGAAAGAAAACCCAAGTGCTTACTACATTAATTTCTTTGTTCATCAACTTCAACTAGTTCTTGTAACTATGGCACAAAAGATCCTAACATTGAAACTTTCTTCACTATAGTACACAAATTGGTGAATGTTGCTGGAGGATCGACTAAAAGATGTGATCTTATTCGAGAGAACCAAAAATTGAAAATTCTTGAATCACTCAGTATTGGTGAAATATCAAGGGACGGGGTCTCCATCAAGGAACTCCTCTTTAGCGTCCTGGTGCTATACGTTGGGGCTCTCACTGTGGTTGTTTAGTTAACTTGATTTTCATATTTTCAACCATAGTCGACGTTGAGATGATTGCTACTAATACTACAAGTACCAGAACAAGAGGTGATGCATGTATTTTATTGGAGTTGATTTTAAATTTGAATTTTTATTTAATCTACATCTGATGAAAAAGATTTTGAGGATTTCAAATGAATTGTCGAGAGCATAACAAAGAAAAAATCAAAATGTTATCAATGCCATGAAATTGGTGCAATTATATAAAGCGCGGTGCCAAACCATGATGGATGATGGATGTAATTCTTTTTTTGGAATGGTTTGTTTGTTTTGTAAAAATCACGAGATCAATATTCCCGATATGAATGATATGTTCATAACTCTAAGTCATTCACAATGTGAGACAGTGACAAGTTTGCATCTTTTTTAAGTGGAAATGTTTTATGCCTTCAATGATATGCAACTTCAAGAGTTGAATGATCATTTTTTTGATGAAAATTGTGATTTGCTCCTTTGTGTATGATTCATTTGCTGTTTTTGACAAGAATAAAGTGATTCAGCTATGTCGTATTATCCGATAGATTTTGACACAGTAGATATCTCAGAACTTGATGATCAACTAGATACATATATTTTTGACATGCATACTTATGAAGATTTTGAAGGATTATAAGGTCTTAGTGATCTTGTATGGAAGTTGATTGCGAATGATAAACATGAAGTGTATCCATTAATCTACAAGTTTGTGACATTAGCTTTAATTCTTCTCGTGGCTACTACTACAGTTGAGAGAGCATTTTCTGCGATGTTGAATAATTGTTTGATTGCATATATTGAGAAAGATGTAATTGATAAGATTGAAAATGATGTAATTATGAAACGTTATGAAAGTATGAAAACACACAAAGAACAATTATAATAAGATATCTTTTCATTTAATTTTTTTTTCCTCCACCTTTTTACATCCACTCAAAATTGTTGAATTTTTAAAATTTAATGGCTCAATTGCATCAATGTAAAATTCAGTGATTTACTTACAACTTTGGTGAAAGTCCAATGGTCTCCAATATTGAGTTAACATGAAACTTAACTTTGGCACACATGTAAGCTTATTCTAATAGACTTCTTGACAAAACCCAAACAAGTTGACATGATTGCTACTAAATTAAAGCTTAGTGGTTTGATCATATCAAATTGAAGTTTAGTGATCTACTTGAAAGTATGGTTAAAGCTCAATAACCTATAGTGTAATTAACCCAAAATAATCATTTAAGCCTCTGTTTGGTGCACAATTTGAGCGTAAGAATACACTTTTACTGTTGATGTGATGAGGAATATGTGGTTGAAAAAGAAAGAAAAATTATTGATGTAAAGTAAAATATTATTTTATTGAAGAATGTGTGGTTAAAAATGAGTAAAAGAATGAGAATGAGAAAAATAATGTGGTACAAATAGGGACTTAACCTTAATTATGACTGGTAATTAAATCCTTTAAAATTGGAAGTCCATTTATACTCCTTTTCTCAAAGTGACCTCCCACAATAAGAGTCAATGTTTACGTTACGTCTTGAATTTTTAAGACATTTTTTGGCAAATAATTTTTGAGTTATGCTACAAGTATATCAAGGGATACATAAGGGTGTCCATAATGGACACCCGAAGCTTCTCTATTAGATGGAGTGCAGGTGGGGCCAGCACTTCATCCAATAGGAGGGCTTCGGGTGTCCATTATGGACACCCTTATGTACCCCCTAATGTACACTTAGCATTTTTCATAATTTTTTTGGATAAAGCCACTCAAACAGAAAAAATTGACAGGATTTGGAAACAGATTGTAATTTGTCCCTTTTTAAAAAAGTTTTCCACCTTCCAATGAATTCCTGCCAAGTATGTCTGTCACCATTTTTCTATCAATTTTGTTTGTTTTGTTCTCTAATTCTATAATTTCGTATTCTGTTTTGACTAAATCACAATAGAAACGTTACATTTCTATAATGAAGAAGCCACTCCCAATAGACAAAACTGAATATTTTAGCTTCATCATTCTCACAGTTTCAACAATCTTTTTATCTTTTCTTCTTTACACGTAACACAAAAACAAGCAAATTTCCAAACTTGGGAAAAACAAGATTAATATAAGATACTAAAAGTAGAATTTAATCCCTTTCCTAGGTATATTATATTAATCACTTGAACCTCATTTTGGCATTAGAGGAAGATGATTAAAGCAACGATGAAGCCAAGAAGCTTGTGTTGACGCTTCCAGGGTACAAGCTTTGCATTGCTGATTTTGACGACGATGTAGCCAGAGCCCCAGTCGAGTTCTTATTCTCAGGATTTCCCAGTGTGGGAGAGCCCTTGAGGAGGACATCAACTTTTGCAAACTCTTCCCTGTCATTCTTGATTTCCTTGAGCATTGCAGCTACATCTTTCATTAGAGGCCTTTCATCGGGGGACGAGTTTAGCATAGTACGGCTATACCTAATACCTGCATCATTTCCACGATCTCAGATTCAGATCGGGATAGCAAACTTGGATCCAGAACTTCGAGTCCTCCCTTTATCTGCCTCGCCCAATCGACTACATGAAGTCCATTGGGTATTGTTAGATCAATTTGTTGTTTCCTGGTCAAGACTTTCATTACAACAACGCCATAGCTATAGACATTAGTCTTTCCCGTGATCTTCATCATTTAGCCATATTCTGAAGAAGAAAAATAACAAAAAGTCAGTCAGTTTAACTAATCTTGCAGAAAGAGGGGGGAAAAATTAACTATTAAGTTTTGAATTTGCAGTTAGGCTCTTTTCTTCTTATAATCTGCAAAAGAAAACAACATATAGAACTGACCAAATAGAAGGCATTAGAACATTGAATGTATGGAAAAAAAAAAAGAAGCAACAGTTACCAGGGCTATGTATCCATAAGAACCTGCAATAGTATTTATGGACCGACCAAAATCACTATCCTGAACAAGCTTCACAAGGCCAAAATCCACAATGTAAGGCCCGAATTCAAGACCAATGAGAATGTTATTGACCTTGATGTCTCGATGAACAATTGGAGGAACACGATCATGGTGTAAATATGTAAGTCCTTGAGCTGCCCCTAGCAAAATTTGGTACTGATGCAGGAGGCTCCGAGTCAGTTGCTGAGTTGTCAGATAACACGTTAATGGCTCTAAGGTATCACGAGTTGGCAGATCATGGCAAGTGATCGTGCAACTTTGGCAATTAAGTCGTGTTTCGATAATTTGGCTATAACTTTGGTTACGGTTATCAGAA